AATCATGAAAAGACTATATATGTGTCTCACTGTATCATTAATTAATTGAAAGAAATTAACTTCTTTCAACCGGACAACGGATAATAGTTGTTAGCTGTACGCGTCCATGCAACAGAGTATGTGAAATAAATACACGAAATCTGTGAATAAGTTTTCGAATAGATTTCGAAATAGCTGTTGTACATACTAAGAATTAATACCTAAAGTAACTAATTTTTTTTATTTATTTTCATAGCTATTATTAAGAAGCATTTGAACGCACTGTGATTAAAACGGTCTATTTTACATCTTAAACTATAAACGTTATATGATAAATTCTCTAAGGATTCAAGGAGGGACAGTTCTTACAGGAACGAAGTAAAATTTTAAAGCGCAGAATACACGCAGTGAACATAAGATAACGTTAATATTATAATCTAGCTATGTTCTAGCAGCATAAATGTCTGAAGGCGTTCGGCTTGGAGGCTCTATGTACTGATTTAATGGTTTGATTGAAGAATCTGTATATCTAGTTTTGACTTGTAGTGTAGAATTTATAAAGCATTACAAATCGAACCAATTAGCAATTATTAGCTTTATGGCTCCATTTTAACTATACTAAAAAGTTAGGGATACCAGTTTATTTCTGGATCCTTTAACAGATCTGTTGATTTTATGATAACGAAAAACATATTTAAATAAGAATATCTAAAAAATTTATTGAATAATTGATTTTTGATGTGATTGTGTGAGATATAGAAACTCTCGCGAAACCAATTTTAATTATTTTCTTTTCATTCGAATCTTCGAAACACCATCAACTTTAAAAACACCTTACGACTTCATCAAAACGCAATTTTTAATCATCTTTAGAGTTGTCTTCTCGTTCATTTTAATGAAATATTCTTTCATACATTTTTAAATAATTAATTTAATATATTTCATACCATATGCTACCATCCCAAAAGATGGCAAGCAACAAAGTAGAGATTAAAGTAATACATTCATTATCAGCCAATGTGAAGACAGTTTGAAGAACTCCCTCTTCTGTAGCCTCATGCAATCTGATAATTTATAAATTTCCACACTGCAAATGCTTAGAAATGTTCACATGTGCATAGGAAATTAATTTCGAAGGCTTGATTTAATACATCAAGACTCACCTCTGAATTTTTCATGATTTAAATTACTTAAAAGGTTTTGCCTCTCGTTTGGATACAAATTTTCATAATGCATGAAACACTGCCTTACATTAAACAATTTCAAGTGGCAATAACTGTGGCCAAGGAGTGCGGGAATACATAAGGAAATAAGCTTAAATGATTATAAGTATCTCAAAACTCATCAACATTAACATCGTTTCCATCCGTCCTCTCCAAAAAGTCTTTTTATCCAACCATTCATTCATTCATCCGCAAATCTTCACAATTTCTCCGCAGTTCTTCAACAAAGCTAAGGATGCTGCAACATGAAGCTAATTAAAGCAACACAATTATGGCATGTGAAAAAGGATATTTTTAAGCCATACCGTGCACAATAACACTGTACACAGCAGACACATTCCTGTAAGGATATTCGCATAAGACGGGAAAGCACTACGGCGTTGGAGTGCCAATGTCAGTCAGCTTCGGTTTTGATGCTTCTTAGCTCGAAAAATTAATAATTTAAATGAATTACTTGCTTCTCAGTGCCGAAAAGTAGCTGAAAAGTAGCTGAAAAGTAGCTGAAAAGTTTCAGAAAGTCTCAAGTATGATTTTACCAGACAGCAGCAACACAATTTTCTTCAGTGTAAAACACATTTCTTCACAAGAAGTGATGTGTTTTTCTCCTCTCTGTTGTAAGGACATCAGCAGATGGAAGCCTTCAGTACTTCATATTTTATGTTAAGTACTTTCTATACTTACGCATTTATTTCACATGAAACTACCTTAGACAATAAATATTAAACAATTACACTGAACAAGGACTCAGGTCCCACGCAGCATTAAATTGAACTTCACATAATCCTCAAAAAGTCCTTTATTAATACAAGTTACTTATGAAACTAATTTCGTTACTTTCATTTCATTTATATATTTACGGATTAATAAAGAATGGAGAATGGAAAGTTGAACATATAAAATGTATAACAATCCATCGATAATAAAAAAACTTTTCCCACCATAACGGCTTTTGTATTTTACAAGGATAATAAAATATAAATCACAGCCAATATTCTAAGGATGGACAAACAAGAAAAAAAAACAATAATAAAATAACAGATTAAGGATAATAAAGTTAAATTTGTATGAAATGCTTTAAATGTCATGACGGCTACTTTGGAAATTGCCTTTGTGTGTCCACTCTGTGATCCTTGGTGATGGGTCCTAAGTCGTTCACATTTTAATGCCATAAAACAAATGTCAAAGCTTAAAATCACAGTTGCACTCTAGAACAAATGCAAAACAAAAAGTTGGAGAAAAACGAAAAAGGATAAAGGATAAGGGATAATGTACGATTTAGTAAATATTTTTGGTCTTCCTTCTTTCATTTCTATTGGTGTCGGTGTGTGTTTGCGTGCATTTTTGTTTACTATAATTGAAGGGATGTTAACCTTTCGCATGTGTTCGAAATGGACAAGCAAAGGACATTCGTGATTGAGTGATGAATGAAAAACGCATTTAATTTGCATTTTAATATGAAATCCAAAGTACGAGAATTTACACAATCACAATGTTTACTCCTGATTGCAGCTTATGTGTCTATAATGTGTGCGAACCCGCTTAGATGAACATTTCGATGTTTTAGTTGGGTGTAGGAGAACAGAATTTGAGCTGCAAATCTGCAAGACAATTATTATTATTATTAAAACTATGGTCGTGAAATAGACTAACACTCGATATTGCGCCCAGAAGAGTCCTATTTTATCAAATTCACTTTTAACATAATAACACAAAGACCTTTAAAACTTTGTGAACAAAGTCCAGAACAAAAATTGGAGAAGAGCTTTTAATCTGTGCTGGTGACAGAAATTCCATATGATCTTCAAGATAAAATATGTTATCAAATCCTAATTTCATTTAACATACAATATATCTTATAAGATATCAAAACGGGAGTTTTTTTATTTTTTACAAACTGTTTTTTTATGTGTATTCTGTTTCTTTCACTGAACATTACAATATTTTCAAAAAGCTTATTAAAGCTTTTACTTTAATAAAAATTTAATCTATATTTATTTATATATATCTAAACAGTATATAATTTATACGTGAAGCCAACTGGCACACATTCCATTCACAACAGTATATTATTATTATTATAATTATTATTAGAAAAGAGAATGAAACACCACAACCTATCAGATTTTTTGGGTACTTCCTAGCGAGACTCCTAACCTGAAGTTAGGGCTATTTAAGAATATGTGAAGACTCCTATTTTCTGAGTGCGGCGATTTAACAACGAATTTTTATAAATATTTTTTACTATTCTTTATCTCGATACAACATGTTTCATAAATATTGGATTCAAGTGTTTTATATTCTTTATACTCTTTACAGTAACAAAAACAATCGCACACTAGTAGCATTTGGTGCATCCAATTTTTGCATCAATTACACAAACTACGATTAATAAATAGATGGGGCGTCTATATATTCTTGGTATATTTTATGTGAAAATTGGCAATTGTACAATCTTAAACCTCAGTGACTGAACTATATACAGTTTGTTTAATTTTCAATAATACTGAGTTTTTAATTTAATCAATTTTGAACTCATTTTACATACTATTTTATAGTACATATTATATAAAATTAGTTGTTATACCCTGCCCTGATAACGAAGTTAGCAATATAAAATCACACTATATAAAAAAAAAACGAAATATAATTTTTGAATTTATATAAATTCAAAAAACCTTTTTAAAAAGCACTATATATAACCAAAATCACTTATCAAATCAATATTTCTTAGTTTATGAAACCAGACCTTATAGAGCTTAAAAAATTGAACTTCAATATGAACTACGTTCTTTAAAAAAGGAAATATCAGAGTCATATAAAACTCTCAATAATGATATAAAAATAAACCAATGGATTGATAAGTAAACTGAACTGTTTTAAATTTTGCATAGGGAACTGATTCTTATGGAGAACCGGGGTTCTTTACTGCTATCAACACAGATAAATACCATTTGTCCGAAGTTAGAAAGTTAGTTATTAATTGAAACATTTTAAAACAAGATATAGGGAAATATATTTATAGAACCGGGTGCAGAGAAAAAATTCATAAAGTTAATGTTAGTATTGAAATAAAAGAACTAATGGTCACCAACAAAAAAATGTTAGTACCATTTGAATGATTGTAAAAGGAAATAAATTTTTTATAGAGCTGATATAGAGTTTTTGCCTTAAGAGTATCTTACATTTCCTTCTTCTATATTTTTCTATGTTAGGGCCAAATATCTCATCAGATGAATCGAGATATAGCAAACTTGAATTTCATGTCAAAATATTTTATTCAAGTCTTTTAAGAATTGAAAGTATCTCAGCAATTTAAGATGCCGTTTCGTTTCGTTGTAGCGTCATAGGTTTAAAAACAAAAGGCAGCAACCTTTTTGAAGTGGAAACCAGCAAACATTTATGCTTAGTTCGGTTGCAAGAAGTCAAATAAATTTGTAGAAATGCTTGGACATACGTATACTCGCAAAGATACATGAAAATGTCTACACTTATGCGTATAAGAACCCATAAAAATACTGCTTAATAATACATGAAATTACATTAATTCACTTCTTTATTGTGCTCTTCTCATACGCCACCAAAACGAAATTGGCCTCTAATTTAGCTGAACATTTTTTGATGGCTTTGATAGTTTCGATAGTTTTGATAGTTTGGATAGTTTTATTCTTTCGAAACTATTAAACACTTTCGGGTTATGTTGTTTATGTTGTTTATTTATTTGTGTTTTGGTTTCGAAGTTGTTTTATATTTTTCTAATATAATTTGTGCTAAGTTCACTGAACCTAGTTCAAAACTTACCGACTTTGCGACGCGCGCGCCACAGCACGGGCGGTGCCGTATTATTGGGTGAAGCCAGTGTGACGCCTTAACTTATATACAAAACCTACAAAAGATATTAAAATTTTGTTTAAAATTTGGAAAAAAATTTATGTATATAATTACAAAAAATTGCTTAAATGTTAATTTTCAAAAAAATCGTAAGCATAAAAAATTAATTATTAAATTTTGCAAATTCAGACATGAAACTTAATGTATAATTTGTTGTAATTTCTGTCTACTCTTTTCCGCTTTGTTGACCTCATTTTTCTAACTTCAATCAACTTTTTCATGTTTTTTGCAACAATTTTTTGTTTTGATCACGTTGAGCGGTACACGACACTCACACGCCATGGCGCTCACGTTTTGACTCCATTGCAAAATTTCACCATGCAACAATTTCGTCAGCACTCTTCGAAGACAACAAACAAAGCACAAATGTTTTTTTTTTAAAACAGTTTCAAATGATTTTGACTTGTCTTAACAATTGTTAAACCTGGAGAGATCTCAAAAAAAATATTGATAATATCTTAAAAAAAAGCTTAAGCTTAACATCATTTACTAATGTATTAAGACAGGGTAAGACATTTAATTATCCCCTCTGGGACAGATGGAGCCATTCCACTGAGCAGCGATCGCAAGGTATCATCCTAAAACGTCCTAATATGTTTTTCGGAGACCGAAGACAAATTGGTTTTTCAGAATCCATTTCGAGTACTCAAACTTACATAGCAATAGCTTTATTCTTCTTGAGGACAGACTCAAGAATGAAACAAATCCGTCAGAGATATAAACCATTTGAATCAAGGTACATAAGTATAGTATTTCGATAGTAATAATAATGATGAAATAAAATAATAATGATTTACTTATTATCTTCTTCAAAGTAAATTGATATATAACTTACAATGTTCGTGGACTCACTATCTAATGGATAGTTTTCTACATTAGACGTTCAATATAACAAATCACAAAACTCTGTCATAAATTAATTATTCAATATTACTATTTCATTTAGTGATTTAACGTGTATTGTAAGAAAATAAAATGTAAAAGGGAATCGTTCACTGAAATAATACTTAGAATGCTTCACAAAAGTGCCGTGGAACAATTAAAACTTGTATACATTGGGCTTTTATAAATGATCATGATATTAGAAGATCTATAAAATGAAGCACTAAAAATATCACTGGTTTACTTACACGTCTTCATTAACATATACACATGTAACTAAAGTCTTATCATAAACAAGACAACATAGTTTACGTTGCAAATTTGTTGTTCTTTGTTTTTGCATTTGCATTAATTCTCGCATTTGCATTAATTCTCGCATTTGCATTGGTTTTCGCATTTGCAAAAAAAAATGTGCTTATACTTCTTAAATGTATATACTATATAGTAATATATTGTAAAAACATAAAAAAAAGAGAATAAAAAAACCCAATGACGACAACAACGACAATATCAACAATATGGTAGAAAAAAAATCTTAGAATAACTTGATCTGAGAATAACTTGATCTGAGAATAATTTGATCTGAGAATAACTTGATCTTAGAATAACTATTTATTTACCCTCAGGCCTGTTCAACAGGACTGTTCGTTAGGAGAGTTTAACACCATACTTTCAAAATTTGCTAGTATAGGAAACCCAACTTCATACCATACATCCAAAGACATTTGTCTCAGACAAGTCTGTAATCTACATATACGTATAATCGGTATCTAAAAACGTACGCGGAGATATTGCTTTGAAGTACGGAAAACCGCCCCCATGTCCATTAAACAAATAGTTCAAGTACTTCAAAAAAAATTACTTCAGACCATTGCGTTCATACTGAATGGTTTAATAAGAATCATGATCTGCCTCGTCAGTTAAGAAAACAGTTTTCAGTAAGAAATATGGAAAAATGAATATATTTTACAAATATCTTGACGATTTTCGTATTTTGGATATTCGTAAAGTTAGTTGTTGTGATAACATTTGACGAAACTTACGAAGAATAGATCTGCAGCTGTAGATTCGCAAAAAATATGTTTGACTGTTTCAAAAAAAAAAACAGAAATTATCTTAATATATAAAATAGTTGAAAATATTATTATAAATACAGAAACAAATTATAAAATTAATTTTATTTGCAATTTAATTAAAAAATATTTTCTTTGGATTAAACAATAAAAAATGGTTTACTTGAAGCTTACAGTAAAGGAAAAGATTAAAATGGTCTAGTATTTAAATTAAAAATCATTTATAAATTAATTTATGTATTCAGTTAAAATAGGTGATTATTATTTGTATATTTAATTTATTATTTCAACATTTTTTTTTGCTGGTAAAAAGCCTTAGGATTCTCTGTAATCCAAAATTCCTAGAATAAATGACTCTAAATCTTATATATGCGAATGATAAAGCAGCTAATTTCGCATGAAATTTTTTCAAATCTAATGAATGCAAATCTTCAAAAAAACTATTGGTACTTTTTTTCCTATCAGGTTATTCCAATTTAACATATTTATTCTGAACTTTATATTAAAAATGAAGAAAGGTGCACGCCAAATCGTAAGTGTTTATCTATTTAACGTTAGAATTAGTTATATTATTATTTTCCAGGACCTATCAGTTTTCTAACTGTTTTTTGGGTAATTCTATCCTTGTTCATCCTATATGTTCTCGTCAAACTGATTGATTTCGCATTTATATTAATTTGTGATCTAAAAAAAAACACAAGAAAATTATTATTAATTATATACAATATATTTGTCTTCCTTTTATATGGGCCGCATTAGCTACCCATAACTACACATCTGGTGATCTGAATGGTTTGTGATTTGACACAAAAAAGATTTTGTAAACTGATTTGAAAAATGCTATGGAAGTTACTTAAAATTCACTTTACTTAATTTGATCATCATTTCTGTTGCGTTGCGATACGGGTGCCTTATCCTGATGGAAGAGCAGTTTTTCTCTTTCTGTTAGAGCACTTTTATTGTGCTTTTCTCCTGTATCCAATCAACACCATTAAGTTGACATTTTTCCCTTCCAGAAATACTCTATTTATACTATACTGTGCGAAGCCGACTGTTGTATTTTTAATCGATTTGGATGGTTTTTACCAGTTACCATCTATTTAGCTGACTATCGATTTTTTCATAGAATGTAAACATAAAATATGGCTTATCCATGCTTATATATCGCAATAAAAAATAATTCATGCTGGCGACATTAGCAGTGATTGGCAGCAAATTTACTCACTTAGCTCATTTTGTCAATCTATGTTAACAGCAAGATCTTTCTAACCAAACCAACAATATGAACTACAACACAAATAACCTTAAAATAAAGAAGAGTAGGGCATAAAAATGTGTGGATATTTGTTTTCTTATCCCATTTACTATAAAATTTCACAAAGTTTTTCGTTTTGATAAACAACGTGCAAAACAATGTTCATCGATAAGCACTCAAAAACCACACAAACAATGTACAATTTGACTATTTCTCGTTTTGGTTATATTTGAACGTGAAGACATGATTTTGTATTTTTTGTTTGTTTATATACTTTCAGTTCAAAAAGTATCGAATATTTGTATATTATTGAACTAGAGAATGAAGGAGTTTTTTTTTGACAGATTTTAATTTAATATCTAATGTCTTAGTAAATATTAAAAATGACCTTATCACTCATTCACATAATTTATTTATTTATTTTTAAGTCTTGGAACAAGAAAGCATTCATTATGTTAATATATATTAAAAGTATATACTTTTTATATGTTGTATATGTATATTGATTCTTGAAACAAAGAATCTTTGAACTTCAAGTGTATATAAGGTTAGGTTAGGTTCAGAAGGTGCGTGCTGACAGTTATCAGCACTTCCACGCAGAGGCATATATAGCCCATTGTGATGCCCTCAAAGTTGCTAAACCTTTGTTAACTTCGTGTACTGTCCTTGTTAAACCATTTGGTTTTCCAGAGGAAGTTGAGGAGATCTGATAAGTTTGTTTTCGTCATTTCTTCCAAACCAGTGAAAAAGTGATTCCCAATACATTGAAGTTGCCTTGTCTGCAGTCCTTAACAGAGACACAGGAAGTCTTTGATAGATTCTACCTCCTCTTCATCTTGGCAACTCCTATATAATTCACTTGTTGGAACTCGCCACTCTTTGAGCAAGGCCCGTAGTACTCCAGTAAGTACATGACTTACAGGTTTGCTGAAACCTAAATAGCTTTTCGTTTTATTTTTGTTCAAACTAGGCCATAAGGTTCTAGCGACCTCACAATCTTAAGACTATATAAACAATGTTATATCTTTATTTGGAGTTCTTCGTTTCCTTTTACTTAGCGTTACCATTTTCACATTATGTTCATGAATTGTACAAAGATACACCGATATGAATATAGGTTGTGCGATGGCCCAAAAGAAAAAAAATCAAATTAATGAAAGAATGGATGAAATATGAAAAAGTTAACAATAGCATTATAGTAAGAAATTTTGTGAAATTTTGTGATTTTGGGGAACTCCATATTCGCTTGAAAGGTACAACAACCAGACAAGACAGTCAACGAAAGTACAGAGAGGAATTGCGGTAAATGGCGCCGTTAATTAATGCAAAATGACGATTTTCAGGCAGACACATTAAGTAAAAAGAACATGATAATAGAATAAATAAATAAGTAATTATAGTGAAAAACAAAAAAATAATAATCTAGAAAGAGGAAAAATGTAAATGTTCACCCATGAACAGAACAAGTAGTTTTGACTGGTTTTTTCCACACTGCATATTAATAAGATAGATGCTCGGTGCTGATTTGAAGTAGCGGAGCGAAGTATAGCGAGTACGAATCTTTGTGGAACGACGAGAAAAAAATGTTGTCAAAAGGCAAAATCGCTAAGTAAGCAAGCCAGCATTTTTTTAAAAGGTGCGGAAATTAATGAATGGATTTAAGTCCCCCCCCCTACACACAGACTAATATGTACCCCTTATAAGTTTATTGGTACACTAAATTATTTAAATAAAGTATTGGGAATTATGTAGTAGGGTGTGTAGCAAATTTTATTTAAACGAAAT